TCTCTCGCCGGGGCGGCTCCCTGGTGATCCAGCGGGTGCAGCCTATGGATGCCGGGACGTACCGGATCACCGTGCGAGGCCTGGATGTGTGTGTCATGGCAGAGTTGAACCTGACTGTGGCTGAAGGTAACCGACAGGGAGATAGGGTTGCCCGTATTGGAACAAACAGCCTGGTATTTGCAGCATGCGTCCAGTTAAAAAACAAACAAAAACCACAGAGAACACCAGGCATGTAAAATGTCCGGTATTTTCTGTTTTTCTCAGATGGAAAGTCGCGTGGGATGTTTTTCTCCCTGGTGGGGGCAAGGGGGAGTGTGGGAGTGTGTGGAGATAAAAAGGGGCCATCACTCTTTTCAGCCAGAGGAGTCCCAGCCTGCCTGCTACAAGCTACTGGCCAGTTCTCTCCTGACATTCCAGCTGACCCAACCCAGCCACAGCAACCAGCCCAAGGTCCGATTTCCAGAGCCCGCACTGGCTTTAGGGTAGGGAGGGAGGGTTGGTGTGTGGGCAGGCAACAGCTGGGAGGCACCACAGAGAGACATCTGAGCACACCTGGGGTAGCTGACCCAACCCAGCCACAGCAACCAGCCCAAGGTCCGATTTCCAGAGCCCGCACTGGCTTTAGGGTAGGGAGGGAGGGTTGGTGTGTGGGCAGGCAACAGCTGGGAGGCACCACAGAGAGACATCTGAGCACACCTGGGGTGGCAGGGGAATAGGGCAGGCGAGATCAGCCATAGGAGAGAAGAATGGTTTGTCCCAGGGATTTCTCCTCCCCCAGGGCATCCTTCCCAGTCTGTTCCACCTCCCATGTCGTTGAGGACACACAGTCTATCTCCTCCCCCCCCCTCCCGACCTCCAGTATTACAAGCGTTCACCTTATTTCTGGCTTGTATTTGTCTAGCTTACTATTCCCAGCCTTCAGAGTGCGTTTTACCTTCGTCTGCCAGATGTAAAGAGCCGCTTGCTGTCAGATTGTAGTTCCCAGCGTCGTCATTCATCATAGACAGTGATCAAATCTCCTTTAGCAGTCTCCTCCGTGAACTAAAGAGACTCAGCACCCGGAATCTCTCCCTGCCCGACGTTTTAAAAGTTTCAGAGGTGTGGCATATTAGTCTGTAACTTTAAAGACTACTAGTCCTGTGGCACCTTAGAGACTAGCCAAAATATATGTATTGTCCGGTCCCATGAACATTCCTGGGCAAGACCATAATCCTGAGTGGAGAAAAGAGGGGGTGGGACCCTCAGAATAAAAGGTAGAGGGAGAAAAAAAAGTTACATGTCAATTACAGTCATAGAACACTAGGGGTATGTCTACATTAGCCCCCTAGTTCGAACTAGGGAGGCTAATGTAGGCATTCGAAGTTGCAAATGAAGCTCGGGATTTAAATATCAGAGGCAGCAAAGAGGGAAGGGAAATATGTGTAAACAACAGGATTAATCAATAAGCCCAGGCTTATCAATTAATCGTGTAGTCGTCTACAGTAATGATGACATCTCTATTATACACACTAAACAGTATATGATCACAGATATAAGGAGACCACATGGTATTGAGGTGCATAAATTAGTGTCTTTAAGCAAATTTGTTATGTACAACTTGGTGGGTACCAGTTCTTTTGGAGTATGCATCTAGTGGTTGCCCTATAGTAAACATGCCCATGCAAACATGTATAAAGAACGTACCGGGTTTTTACAGTAAGCCCAGATATGTGTGATTCTTTCATGTTCATTTACTTGGAGTAAAAAAAAAAAATCCCCCTCCAAACTGGAACAGATCTCAAAATATTCTTCTCCAGGCTTGTTTTCTGTACTGTATTCAATCAAATTACAATATGTATTGCTGAGGAAACTAGTTTTTAGCTTTGTTAAGAAAACAGACAAGTGAAGTCAACTAACTTGTACAGAATACTAGCTGGACTTACTCGGTGTTGCTCAGAGGAACAAAATTGGAAAATTTAGGAAAGGAGGGGACCCTGAGCCAGGGGATCCCCAAAGCCACAGACCGTGGGGGCTAATGGCTCCTGGCCCACACCTGACCCTCTGAGAGCAGCAGGACCCTCCTGTCCGAAGGACCGAGCAGCCAGCCCCCAGGAGGACAGTACACAGTCTTGCGGCTAGTAGCAAGGGGATTTTCTCTTTGCAAAGTTGGCTCAAGGATCTACTTGCCCTGCCTTGGCAAGCAAAAGCTCACATCTAACACATCTAACATGGCTGGAACCAGGCACAGAAGAGCCCCACTCACAGTAGCCAGCTAGCTTCACAGCAGTGTGACGCATTGAGGGTTTAACCCGGCCCCTCCATCCTGCACTGCAGCAGGCACATGGATTCCTTCTGCTTGGATAAGCCCAGCGAGCTGAGCAGAAAGGCTGGCCGGCTTTAGTTTTGGTTTCCGGAGGGAGGGGGGTGGCAGGTGGGAAGTGAACCCAGGTGGAGGGGAGGTTACACACGGGAGGGGTGCCCCAGCTTGTGCCCAGGGCTTCAGGTGCCGCAGGGGGCAGAGCAGGTGCCTGAGCCGTTGTGCGCATGGGGGCGAGGGCACTGCATGCCAGCGGGTGGGGGAGGAGAAAGAGGGTCGGTTATGTAACCTCGTGGGTGGGAGAGGGCGAGTCCCAGGAGGCTACACTTGGGAGAGGCGCCCCAGCTTGCGCCCGGAGCCAAAGGTGCCGCGAGGGGCAGGGCAGGACCCCAATCAGGTCCAAGAGTACCTTAAAACCTTCTCCAGGATGGAAGGTTATCCCATGCAAAGTTTGGTTGCAGTAGCTCTTATAGTGTCCAAGTTATTAACGCACAAACTTACAAACATTCCCCTTTTCCACACCGGAGTCCCTGCTCTCCCCTGGTCCACCTGCCTTTTGCTTTGCACTCCAGCTGAGGCGCGCCTGTGCCATGAGAGCGGTCCTCCACACACTGCCTCTGCACAAGCGCCACAGGCCCAGAATAACAGCGGCCTGGGAGCGCATTGCCGTCGGCGGAGGTAGTGCTGGGGGAGGAGGGGGACCCCTGCCACACCCTCCCACAGTACCTTAAAATCTTCTCCTGGAGGAAAGGTTACCCCCATGAAAAGTTTGGTTGCGGTAGGTCTTATAATGTCCAAGTTATTAGAGCACAAACTTACAAACATTCTCCTTTATATATTAGATTTGGCTACATTCTGGGTTAAATAGGTTTTTGTGGGCTAGCCTGGGAACCAACTACCATTTATAACATTGTTTCTCTGGGAATGTGTGTTCCAAGTTCCAAACTTACAAACTTTTGGAATATAATCCATTTGTAAATTGGGGACTTTCTGTAGTTCCATAAATGAAGTGTTTCAGTGCAGGCTGTGTGTTACCAGTCTGATTATGGAAAGAAAAAAAAAAGAACAGCCAAATGAAAAACAGTAATTTGATTGAATAACAATTAATCAAACAGATACACAAAGAAAAGTTAGATAGACAGACAGATATCTTTACTCATCATGAAGAGTATTCTACGAGAGCCACAATAACTTCATTGGGACCACTCACGGATCTAAGATGCTATTAATCAACAAGGTTATCAGAATCTACCACAATGAAAGAAGCATGAGAGAGAAAAACACAGAGGAGATAAATATGGAACAGATATCACATATTCCCACTTCCACACTCTGAAAAAGAAGGGACAGACATATACTGTATTATATGCTGGCAACCAGCCAACTTAAACATTTTCACATTCATTTCGGTTTATTGATGCTGAAAAGTCTTCTTACCCGTTGTTATTTGCAGTTCATGACAATCCAACCTATACAATAATGTAGGGGTGAGCAATAAACAGCTCATGGGCCAGGAACAGTTCACCAGAGAGTTAGTCCTTGGTGGTCCAACAGACACTTTATTTACCTGCACGCCCACAGGTATGACCACTCGCAGATCCCATTGGCTGCAGTTTCCTGTTCCTGGCCAATGGGAGCTGTGGGAAGAACTGCAGGCTGGGCCACTACTTCTCACAGCACCCATTTGCTGGGAACAGCAAATCATGGCCAACAGAAGCTACGAGCATGTTCTCAGTAAATAAAGCGTCTGACTGCTCACCCGGGGCTAACCTTGGCAAATCACATCCAGACCACAGGCCAATTATTGCCCACTCCTATTATCATGCATGCACATAATGAATTATGACTAGGCTGCCATTGCACAAGATACCAGCATACAAATCACATATAGGCAGACATTCATTAAATATATGAAACATGCAATATATAAAATGAAAACACTGCCTAACTTATATTTCTGATTACAAAAATGAGCTAAAACATAGATCACTGTATTTGTTCCCCCATATCAATAACAGACAAGCATTTCAACTATCAAAAAAGGCAAGAAATGTATCATACATAAAAAGCTCAGATAATTGAACTTTACCATATGCCAAGCAGCAGACCACACTTACACATGCTAGAAGTCTCATTGCATTACATTGGATTACTTATGTGCATAAAGTCAAGCATGGGTGTTTGCTGGATTGTGGTCACACTATACTAAATTTTCTGATTATAAAGTTTGTCACTTACCAGTTTGTTTTTCCACATTGAAA